TTTTTCAAACCTTACTATCATCAGGCATGTGACAAATCAAAATGCCAAACTGGACATTTTGTCTCTACACAGTCTCTGGAACTTATGGATGCTCAACGACGTATTCCGGCTGGAAGCGAATACAATGAGGCTCGCAACAATCTCAGGACAAATCTGCGTGCTAGCCTGAAGAAACACCGCAAAGCCTGCTGGTGTCATCCTGCCTCTGAGATGGAAACAGCCGCTACCGTTGGTAATCATCGTAAGTTATTCCGTCTGATACGGGAAACTGGCAGCAGGAGACCTGGTGTTAGGGAGACCATAAGCGACGAGAGTGGACAGCCGATCCACAGCCTGTCAAAACGCTTGGTGCGTTGGACCGAAGACTTTGTAAGGCAATTTAACCAACCTGAGTTATCGCTTTCTTCTTCGGGCATTGAGCGCCCTTCTCCCTGGGCCGTCTCCTTGGGTCCACCCTCACGCGCAGAAGTCGAACGTGAGATCAGGCTGTTGAAATTGCATAAGGCCGCAGGGGCAGATAGAATTCCCACAGTCATCATCAAATCCGGAAGACCTGCTCTAGTAAATGATTTACACCAGTTGTTCGTGAAACTTTGGGAGCAGGAGACTGTACCGACAGACGAGCCGCTCCGTCATTGTCCCAATTTTCAAGGGAAGCTCCAGTTCGGAATCCGACAACCATAGAGGGATCAGTCTGATCTCAATTGCCTCTAAATTGCTTGCGTCTGTCATTCTCTACAAACTGACTGGCACTCGTGAAAGCCAGATTGGTGAAAAGCAAACCGGGTTTCGTCGAGGTCGGGGCTGCATCGATCACCTCTTCATCTTGCTTCAGTTGTTGGTGCATCGCCATGTTTATTGGCGACCCGCCGTTGTCGTGTTTCTTGACATAAAAAGCGCCTTGGATCGATGTGCCCTTTGGGACTGTCTACTGAAAAAAGGTGTGCCTGATAAATACGTAAACATTATCAAAGCGATGTACACGCATAGTTCGGGCAGAGTGAGAGTTTATGGCAAACTCTCGCCACCCTTCAGTTCATCAGCGGTGTGAGACAAGGTTGCCCGCTGTCACCTTCCCTATTTAACTTCGCAGTTGACGAAGCCATGGAAACACCGTTCGCTGGACACGACCTAGAAGGTGTGGATCTACTTTCTGGTGAGCGAATTCTTGACTTGGAGTACGGGGACGCTATTGCCCTAATATGTGACAGCTCCCAAACATGCCAAACAGCACTGGACCGATTAGCACTGTCTGTCAATCGTTTTGGGCTATGCTTTGCTCCATCGAAATGCAAAGTATTTCTCCAAGGTTGGCAGGGACTCACCGCTGCGCTAACGCTTTGTGGTGATAAGCTAGAAGTCGTTCAGGAATTCAAGTACCTGAGCAACTATATTAGCGCCCGTGGGATCGAAGATGAAGTTACAAACCGTATAGCAAAAGCTTGAGGTGCTTTTGCCATTTTTCGCCACCTGTGACGCATACGCGACATTACTCTCGTCCTGAAGGGCAGAGTTTATAACGCAGCCGTCCTATATGGTTGTGAAACCTGGCCCATCAGGTTGACAGCCATAAAGAGGCTCGTCACATTTGATCATCGCGGCCTTCGCAGCTTAGCTCATGTCTGGTTGGAGCACTGCGTGAGCAATGAGCGTGTTCGGCGTCATGTATTTGGTACAGGAAGAGCGAGTGAACCGCTTATCACCATTATATCACGCACTAGGCTCCGATGGCTGGACGCCGTGTGGCGCATGCCAGCACACCGACTGTCGGGACGTGCATTATTTGTGTACCGGGGGTTCGGTTGGAAGAGGAGGAGGGGAGGCCAAACGATGACTTGGTCGAGAGAGATGAAAACCCTCACTTCGAAGTTGGCGTCGGTTTGTGCATTTTGACCACCTAGCTAGAATTCTAAGGACATGCACACATTTGGTTGGACACACTTGCTGATATGACTAGGAGCCGGTCCCAATGTCGTTTGTGTTGTTAGTTGCTTTGTCCATCCCCTCCTGCTTAGCCTCCCCATCCAGTCACGACCTCATACGTTAGGCATAATATAACACTTTTTGTGGCACGCTAGCCGGCGTGTCTCCATTGTACTTTTTGTCTTTTGTACTGTAGCACAATAGCTAAGGTGTTTTCCACCTGCAGCTAACGTGTATAATGATGATTTTCGAGCGACTTCGTAAAACTTTGCCAGATTGCGGTTATGCTCTTCATCTATTGCGCCGCACTCTGTTGTTTTGGCAATTTAGGCCAATGTCGCGTTCTAGTTCTCGTTGGTTATCACTTTATCGATGACTTTGGAAACAAGCGATCCCATTACTTTCATCGAAAGGTGTACGACAGAATTGGAAGAAATTTCCGCAGGCTTCAAACGCGGTAAATTTTTTCTCGTTTGTTTTGATAGGAATCTGAGGATATGCACTCTTCAGCTCTAAAGTGCTGTACACCGAGTAACGAGAAATTTGTCGACAAGAGCCTCTAGGCAGGGGATACACATCTAGATGAGTGTACTGGTTGTTGGTTTGGCTGTAATCTACAACCATACAACCTTTATGTGTTTTGTTCGTAGTTACTAAAATCTGAGCTCGCTACGGGGATACCGATGGTTCAATGACATCCTTAAGAAGCTCCTGTATTTCCATATTAATAAACGTCTCGTCCGCAGTACAGTGACGCCTCGGTTTAGTGGCGCTCGGTTGGAAGACGGAAGCATCGTTCCTAAACAGGGAGGGTGGATCCATATCAACGGCCAATACTGTACACAATGAGAGAGGTTGTTCACCAAAGAATGGAATTTGGACAAATTGGGGAAGCTTAAGAAAATCGTTCTCCAATAATACTTCAGAACAAAGATTTGAAGTACGGACAGTTGAACGTCTGTGTAATGACGGTCTTTATACTGTATAGGGATAAGGTAATGATTATTGGGGAAACTGATTAAGTGAGTGCTGGCCATCAAAATTTTACACTCAAAACTGAGGACATTCCAATTGAATAGTCTGGCAATCGACTCGGAACTATAGATTTCAAAGCTTCCGGTATCAGTCAAAGTTTTTAGAGTAACGTTGTTGATAAGTACACTGATGACGGCGTGTCACTGCGACGGTGATCGAGGATAAGTAATCATGGAGGGCCGAAGTCGTATTTTTGTATGAGAAACGACAAACTTTCTGCTAATGTCCTTTCTTACCACAAACGTTGCAAACGACTCCGCAAGCTGGACGTTGAGATCGGCCATGACTCTTGAACCCGCAGAAGAAACATTTGCTATACGATATCGCAACACCGACACTGTTACCTTAGACTACCGATTCACTTGCTGTTTGCGAAGGTGCTGATTGACATGTGGTACATGCGCCACAAGAGCTTTCTGATTGGTATAACTGTGACTGACGATAGGCCATCTCGAGGGATTGGCTTGTTCAAAAGCGGCATGTAGATCGAGTGACACGTTTTCCAAAAGACGTTGGCGTATCGCCTGAGATTGAAGCCCAGTTATGAACACATCCCGAATGGCGTCTTCGCGGTTCTTCTCTGCCGTGACCGTCATGAAGTTACAATCCTAGGCCAGTGATTTCAACTTCTGCATGAGGTTGCCTAATGTCTCATTCACCTATCTTTTACTAGTAGTTAGAACATAGCGTGCAAAAATCTCGTTTTTCGGCTATATATATAGTTCTGAGCGTCTCTATAGCGGGTTCGTATTTTTAATGTAATCATGTACATCGGGAGAAAAGTAGTTCGCCAGAAACTTCAATTTTCTGAACGGTAGTGAGTCGCCGAGTTCGCGTTGTTGGGATAAACATCTAAACGTTCTGGTCGTAGGATTCGATCTATTGTTTGCTGAATAACTTGTATTGTAATTGAACGGGTCGGATTACAATGAGTAAGAAGAGTATGTGTCCGAGAGAATAGGCTTTATTTAGCAAGCACCTGGGTTAAGGAGGCTAAAATGAAATACAGCAAGATTAGTATAAACGAGAAATGAGAAGTTCACATAACACTACGTATGCCCGGTCACTGCTTACCTAAGACAGTCTTGTTTTGTCTGCCAGGGTAGCGCAAGGTTCGAGATTTACAAAGTCGACTTGACAACGGGAAATGAAATCACTAACGATCAAACTGGTTGTCGTCGGTCCGTCTCGCCTTCCGGGCTAGAGTTCATGTGAGACCCGCCTTATGCTTGGCTCTAGACTTGACAGGAAATGGATCGCAGTCGGCACCATCGCGGGTCTGCTACCGTCCCCTAGTCGGACTGCCTGTTTAAAGTGTGTTTGGTGCTGAGTTATCTGCAGGGTAATGGTTGATTATGACGCGTGGCAGTGAAAACCGCGAGGAAGCTGTCTCGCTGATGCCACCTTACTTTTGCACGATAGCCAGCTGTTTGTGGCGGTGTTTTCTACACAAGGTGTAGGCTCCTTGACCCTGCGTTTTTGCTTAGGACATTATGGTTTTCCGCTGAGTTCCCCTTCTCTCCCTCTTATTATTCTTCCATAGCTCATCATGGTTGTATGGCAGCGAAGCATCAGTTCAAATGGCTGACGTACTGCTGTTATTGCACGGTTGTAAGACGCGCCCCACAGGATCAATTGACATAAATTAGTTTGCTATTTTCGACCACTGGTTCCTCCTCATTTTTGGTCCATATCTTGCGACCACATATAGATCCGACCATGTCGATTTGGTTGTCGTGAATAGGGAACCGGATCGCCCAATTTTCTTTTGCTCTAACGATAGATACAATCTGAAAAACCCATGGGTTTTTTGTTTCTGTCCCAGTTGAACTTGAACATTCCTTTATATATCACTTAGGATGATATTACACACTAACCTATTCTGATATACATTTACCACACTGCTCCAGTTATCCTTCTGCTCGTCTGTGGCATTGATTGTGACTTTTGTGACAAATTGATGGCACGCACTTCTATCTTTCTAGTTTATCGGGATTATCCCACCTGCCAATTAGACCACTGCGCACTACACTGCAACATTGATGGTCACACCACCCTCCAATTTTTCATGGGTCTCAGACAGTGTTTGCGGCTTCGCATTTCCGTATGATAAAGAAGAATGGGATTACCTAGCCAACTGTGCCAAACTATCTCACGTTATTACGATGTGCCATGAAGTCCCCGACGAAGCTTCTTCTTATTCAGGTACTTGTCCACAGCATGGGTTACCATATATCATCTCTCTATCTTTCTCCTAGCCATCCTACAGCCCGACTTTTTGGGTGTCCATTATCACTTGTTTATGCGACCGAATTATTTCAATTCCACCGTCCAACTGGCAGTGGATCAGTTCGTACGCATGACTATCCGTTTGAACCTGGGTGGTTGTGAGCTCTCTTGCATTACCCCATCTAGTATTCACCCGCTGACGTTTGAGTGGCATCGAAGCGTCGGTATCAGATTCCCACGTACAGTGTACGTGGCTTATATAAGCCATCAGCTTATGATATTCTATTTGGTGGCATTCAAGTATCTTTATGAACAGTAATTCGGAGCGTTTGCTAATGATGCTTTACTACGCTTCGCTCGTTAGCCAGTGCTCTTTTGCCTACTCTTATATTGCTTGCGTCTTCAGTCTTCTCTTATAGCCCATTTATAACACAGCTGCTTCTGGCTTCACTCAAGTGTTCATCGTGATCCTAACTGAATACGAGATTAGGAATTCTGCCGTAGTCCTCGACCGTCCTCATGCTTCTGCTTCGCATCCTCCTGCTCACTGTACTCTTAGGAATGATATTGTTATGTGAAAAGAACTTACCCATCTGTTCCAATCACTATAGGAGGACATTGTACATTGACCACTGCATTTAATAGAAATAAAGGCTACAGCTTTACAGAATCCATGGGATGTAAAGTGTTAGGCTCCGGTCTTATGAAAAGGCCAAGCAACCCTATAGTGGATTGGACTCTCGTGTTAGCCGTATCTTCACCGGGCCTAGATGATATTTAGCTAGAACGCACGCCGGTCTGAAGCGTAACACTTCACAACGCCCTCTGATACAGCTAAGGAAAGAATTATGTAGAGTAGAAAAGGGAGATTCCATCAACATGTAAATCGGGAGCTTTGGGAGTAGAAGGAGAATAGCTAGCTTCTTCAGGTGGGAAACGGCTGGGAGGTGACTGGGGCTAGTCTGAAGTGTAATATACACGCACTGGTTCGCGCGAAGATTTGCATGCGTTTCGGAGTATCACCCAGATTTACGCACTACCGACCGAACGTCGAAAATCTGCAACATCCTGCGACGTTAGCCAAATACCAGGCTTTTCTGTCAACACTGCTTGCTTTATCCTCTTACGATGGTCTGAATTCGCAATGGATGCGCATCAAAGATGCCTTACTTTCTGCCACTGTTGATTGTCACCCGCCGAAAAGCTTGATCATCAGTGCCTCCTTGTCTCTGATAGACAGACACCGCTTGATCCCAGTCGACACCAGTTGTAGTGACGAACGCCGATCTCTGGATCGAGCGTTGCGTAGGAGCTTACATAAGGATTGTGAGACCTGGTTGTGTGAACGTGCTAAAAAGATTGAACTTGCTCACCTCTCTGCATGGTTCCCTAATCACTAATCTTCAAGGACGGTTGGGGCGTTGGGCCGAACATTTTCGCTCACAGTTTTCTTGGCCGCCAGCTCCATCTGTTTTCCCTAGGAGCGAGCACTGGTGCTGAGTGGACTTTCTTCACTGATCCTCCATCTCACCGGAAAATCTGGCGAGAACTCTGCTGCCTAAAATGTTGTAAGACACCCGGCCCTGATGCTCTACCTCCTGCTCTATCTAAAGATAGGGACTATTCGCTGGTTCGAGAACTCACCGCTTTGTTCTCAGAAGTCTGGGCAAAGAAGAGGTTCCTTCATCTTAATATGAATCGACAGTCGTCTCCATCTTCAAAAATGCCTTGCACATAATGTGCTTCAATTACCTGGGTATAAGTTCGGTCCCCATTGTTTGCAAGATTCTGGTGTCCAACGTTTTTCGCAGGCTATCCCCAACGCTTTAACCACTGCAGCGATAAGATCAGGCTGGGTTCCATCCTGGTCGCGGCTGCATCGATCAGATTTTCACACTCCGCCAGATTCTCGAGCTCCGCCGTGTGTATCAAAAGCCAAGGATTGTTGTGTACTTGGATACCCGTGCTGCCTTCGATTCTGTCGATAGAGCTACATTGTGACACTTCATGTTGAGGAATGGTATTCCTGGGAATTTCGTTTCCGTACTGCGTGCTCTGTATAGTTTGACCTCTGGTAGTGTTAGGCCTTATGGTAAAATTTCGCCTTTTGTTGTCACTAGTGAGGTTCGACAAGGATGCCATATCTCTCCATTCCTCTTCATTTTTGCCATTGAGGATATCCTCAAAGATGCTCTAGAAGACTTGTTGAACCTTTGCGCTGAGCTCCTACCAGGTAGTCGGTTGATTGGTTTGAATTACGCTGATGATATCGTCTTGCTGGGTGACAGTTCGCAGGCCGTTCAACTTGCATTCAACCGGCTGGCGATTGAAGCGTCGAACTATGGCATACACTCTTCACCGTCCAAGCGCAAAGTGCTTTTTCAAGACTGTCAGGCGCCTTTAACTGCATTCACCATCGTTGGCGAGACGCTAGAAGTTGTACACAGTTTTGTGTACCTGGGAAACTGCATAACTGCTGGTGGGGGTGTTGGAGACAAGAATTCGTTGCGCATCTCAAGAGCTTGTCTCGCCTATTACAGCTTGAGGCATATATGGCGCCGCTGACATTCGTCTCTCTATCATAGAGCGATTTTATAGTGCGACCGTCCGCGCTGTACTATTGTACGGTTGCGAGACTTCGCCTGCTCGTACCGATGACCGGCGCCGCCTGTCTGTCTTCCAGGACCGTTGCTTGCAGTCCATCGCCCGTGTGTGGTGGCTGCACCACGTAACCAACGAAGTCCGACAGCGTGTTTTGGGTGGAAGCAGCCACTCGAGGCGCTTGTCTCGCTGCGAAAAACTACGGTGGCTCGGACACGTACTGCGTATGCCCGTTCAGCGTCTTCCGCGTCGTGCCTTGTTCGCGTTCGCTGGGCTGGGCTGGAGGAGGCGATGTGTTGGATAGCCAACAACTTGGAAAAACCGGATGCAAAAGCTGACAAAATAGCTGGCTTCGGTTGGTTCTTCTCGACTCCCTGAATGGGGTTTCAAAGATGCTGTGACGCTGCTTAGAAACCTTAGAAGTTATGACTCAGAACTGAACTCAGTGGCGGACGTGTATATCTGCTTGTTGCGGTGATTCCCCTTCCCTCCCCCAATAAAAAAGCACCCAGCAACTCAAAAACGGTGAGTGGCAAAATGGACAAAACTTGTTTTTTATTCTAATTCTGTTTTCCTATTCCGTCGTGGTTCCGATAGCACAATATCCTTACGAATTGTGATATATATATATATATATATATATATATATATATATATGAGATACAGTAGGGTAGATAGTTGTCTCTGCGAAGATCGCGATGTAGTCCGGCAAGACGATGGTCCAAGCAAGTCTTGAAATCAGCTGTGGTAGATGCCGAGACTAAGTCGGCAGGCGAAGCGTTCCAAGTGTCCCCAGACTTATAGAGCGAAGAAGTGTCGCTTGCAATTCAGCCGGCTGTGATGACGTTAGCTGGAGTGGGTGATCACGAAGATGACGGCATGAATGGTGCAGTTTGAGTAAGCCGTTGCAAGAATGTCCAGACTTAGATAGGATTGTAAACACGAGAATCAAGTCGCCCCGAAGACGTCGGTACTTCAGCAAAGCCGAACAAGACGATAAAATCGTTGTGCATGATCTATATATCTGAGACCTCGTACTAATTTTGTCGTCTGACGTTGTTGAGCTTCAAGCTTACGCTGGTCTTTGAGCAACCATGAACTCCAACCCGGGATAGCAAACTCCAAACGAGGGCGCAGGGCGCCGTTTAGGAGATGGCGGAAATTTTACGAGTTTAATTAGTCGAAGGCACATTTTAACAATTCCGACATGCGGCAGAAAGCAGATATAGAAAGATTGTTTTCGGTTTTTATACCCAAACCTCTTTCGGATGACGAGACCTGAAGAACAGACTCTCCCAGGAAGTATAGTGGAGAAGCGGAAATGCGAATCATCAACCGCACTACATCAGCTACTTGGACTGATGCTTCACTGCCGTACAACCACAATGGCCTACGGAACGAAGACCAATGAGAGGGAGAGAAGGAGGACCAAGCCGAAATTCCTAATCATGAATAGCGAGGAACTCGTGGTAGTTGATCAATTCACTTACCTTCGCAACTGTATCCGCAATGATGCGTGTATATCTACAGAGGTCAGTTCACATATTGCAAAAGCCAGAAATGCCTTTTTAAATCTGCGACATGTGTAGCGTCAGAAAGAGGTTTCCCTCCGTTTGAAAGGCTTGATGCACAAAGCCACAGTGAGGTATGTCTTACTCTATTGGAGTGATACTTGGCCCCTTCGGTCTGATGATCTGAGGCGCCTTCAAGTCTTTGATCATCGCTGTCTGCCGAGCATTGCTGGTGTTGGATGGCATCAGCGTGTCCACAACGAGGATGTGCGTAACCGAGTCCTAGGCAGTGATAACCATGCTAGTTCCATAGAACAACAGCTAGCACTGAATAACTTGCGTTGGCTTGGGCACTTGATACGTATGCCTGGTCACCGCTTACTTGAAGAGCTTTTTGTTTGCCAAATCTAGGGTGGCGCAAGGCCCGAGGTATGCAACAATTAATTTGGCAGTGGAAATAAAGTCACTGAGGACCCATTTCGGTGCCGTCGGTTCGTCTAGTATTCCAGGCTGGAGTCCACGTGACCTGCCTTGCGCTTGACTCGATACGTTACAGGACATGGCTCGCAGTCGACACCAGTGGCGCGTTTGGTACCGTCTCGTATTCGCATTACCTGTTTAAAGTGTGTTTTGTGCTGAGTTATCTGCGGGGTAATGGCTGATTATGCCGCGGGACAGTGAAAGCCACTAGGAAGCTGTCTCGCCAATATTGCCTTATCTCTGCACGATGGCCGGCCCTTTGTGACGGCATGTTTTCTACACAAGATGTGGTCGCCTTGACCCTGAGTGTTTGTTTAGGGCATTATAGTTTTGCGGTAGTTTTCCCTTCTCTGCCGCTTATTCTTCTTTGTTCCGTGCGTCAGC